CCTATAGTTCTTCCTATGATTACTCTGAGGTATCCGTTAGAGAGAAACCTGAGAGAGAAATAAAGCGGTAATAAAGAGCAGATTTCAACTTGGATTTTATAAAAATAGAATCAGAAAGCAGAAGAAGGACCAAAAGTGGATATGCCTGCCCTCCTGTGAGTGAGTCAAAAATTGCGACCATTACTAAGAGTACGTATGAGGGATAATAAAACAGTCCTTTGTTACCAACTTTAGGAAAAGGTTATAGTAAAAAAGTCTAGCTCGCTATTCCAATAACTTAATGCTTAATCGTACCATTGCAAACACACCCCTTAATAACTCTTAAGCCACCCAAAAATGAATTTTAGTGGTAATGAAGAGGAGACCTAGGTACCTGGAGCTTGGCTTGCACCCATATGAGGTAGCTGGGCAGATGTTCCAGTATCATGCAGCCCACCTGACACGGAATCAACGATCGAAGCCGATTTGCCTCCAATAGAAGAAGCAGAGCTCCCACCTGTGACACCACCACTACTACCAATACCAGCAGCAGTCATAATACTGGCATTACACAAAGAACTACTTCCGCCACTTGAACCTGGGCCACCAGAAATGCTTCCGCTGAAACAGGTGCCGGCAACAGCTCCACCTAAAACAACATTTGCAGCTGGGGCGCTTTGGCCAGTGCCACTAGTTAGCAGGTTACCACAGAAAGTGGATGGTGAAGTGGAGGCAGGATTTGCTCCCTGAGCAACAGGCTTATTGACCGCCGTAGTAGATGGAAGATTTCCAGTACCTGGCCCAGGAAAAGGACCAATCGACCTGTGTTCGCCATCAATTCCTGTGTGAGATATACTGAGTGTCTTGCTGTGAGTGCGCAATGAGAAGATAAGTTAAGAAAAATATTCATTAATGGCAAATGAATAAACTTGCAACAACAATGGCTAAAAAATCCGAAGTAAAGATTAATTTGTCAAAAGTTATCCGCATACTGGAATAAGATAATCTAAATAGTTTACATCATGCTAAATGAATGAATGGAAATCCAAGAGCATTCAATGGAGGAATCATGCATCAAAACCTCATAAGATACTAATGACAGGCTCATTTACGATATGATAATGACATGGCTTCATTGCGCATGATAGTATTTCTATAGGAATAGAGTAAGTGAAATTCGATTAATCTCCTAGGCTAAAATTGTTGAGGAAACTTTCAGTTTGTATGTAAGCACATGATGAAGAGATCAGGTCGATCTCAACAGAAGATGACGGCTGATTCCAGTTGTACTGAAGCCGTTTGTCTTTGACACGAAGTTCAGGTTGACGCAGTCCACGATACATCCTTCCTTGTTTGGACTGAAAACAGACTGAGCTTTAGTCCATCACATTGTGGACATTAGCAGAGCCAAAACTCATTCCTGTAAATCTTTATTCAATACTAGGTCAAGAAGACTGTCCGGCTTTATCCTGTCTTATAATAACTTATAACTAAAAACGAAAATGTGTAGAAACAGATAGATATGGAATTGTTTGGCTAATTTATTTTTACATTAGACATGGCACTTTTGCTTGAGTGTGTGCGTCTGTGCTTTAATGTCTACACGCAATACCGTTCCCAAATCAGAGTGATGATGTATGCCATATGATGGACGAAACATCAGCCCGTTTTCACCCGAAACTAGGGTAGATGCCTCTTGGATTGCGTCAACCTGAACGTCAAGTTAGAGACAAACGGCTGCAGTAAAACGGGAATCAGCTGTTGTCTTTTGCTGAGATTAGTCTTAGAATCTCTACATCATGCATTTTTATGCGAAATGAAAGTCTCCATGACAATAGTATTTCTAATATGATATGTATTCACCCTATTTTGTTTAAGGTGATGAAGAACTTGTAGTAGAATTTTCCCACAATGATATGGGTAGAGCTGACGTCTTCATTGCATTCCTCATTGCCTTGCTTTCCCAAAAGTTGTTCTCATCCAAAGTATTTCTAGCTGTAACAGCCAACTTGACCTGTTCTATCCAATGGATGCATGATAAACTCAGTTTCTTCAACAAAAATTCTAATAAAACGATTACGTCAGCAGGACTTCAAACGAACCCATGTTACTACCTGAAGATCTTGGTTCCTTGTGATAAAATGAAACAATGGCTAAGGGAGTAAAAATATCTTTTCTTTCCTGTCCATATATCTGTGGCACAAAAGAAAAGTATGCTGAAACAGATTTTGCAGTTAGAGAAAGTAATAACAGATTGTGATGATAAAGCAAATATGTAATCAAGTTTAGACAAGAATCAACCTAATATTACCTCATAATTTAAAGGGCTCTTATAGCCATAATAAAAAGTGTTTACATATCTAAGAACCTAACCATGAATTGTCTAAAGATTCCACGTTTAAGCGCTTACTGTAAACTGTAGTGCT